AGTCAACATGATAACAATATTAATTTTTAAAAAATACATTTGTATTGCTGTTAGGGACTTACCCGAGAGAAATTCGGCCAAGTTTATCGAACGGTTGCTCTAAACTTGGAGATAACAAAACCAGTGCTAAAACGATTTGCCTTTGGTTTGAAGTTGTCCGGTGACTTCACTGGACTTGGGTGTTCCTAAACTGGACTTGTATCATAACATTTCTAAATATTGACTGCTTGCCAATTTTACTTGTCCTTTAGTGCCCGACATGTAGCCCTGTTTGTCCCCACCATGCTTTCCCACATGTCCCAATGTCTCCCAGTATATCATGTGCCTTTGCATGTCCTCATGTCTCGATTTGTTCCAAAAAAACGTCCCAGTGTGTCTTGATGTGCATGTCACCACACGCCCCAGCGTATCCTCGCATTTCCCCCATTAATAATTATCGCAGCTACTTTAACAATAAATCTACGGCTCAAGTTTCCTGGCTGGCTGCTGGTTGGGTTCCTCTCCACCCCAACGATAACTCTTTTGTTGGTGCGAGCCGTTGCGATCAAAACTAGCAGGGTAACTGCCTGCATGGGATTTTTCAGTGTAACAAATAAATGTTGAATATGAACGGCAGAAGAAGTTTGGAAGATGCATAATAGCGACACCGAAGAGGTGGGACTAACAAATACAGAAGACTGACACCGTTAAATTAAAATAGCTCTGACTTTTCAATTTCTGTTCCTATCGATGTAATTAATCCATCATAACATTATTTGAATCGTATACAATATGAAAAAAACCCATCACAGTACATATCGTCTTGCCATTTTATTGTTACATAATAAAGCATATTACTGTTGGTGCTCCGATTACGAGAGGATTCTGAGAAGAGTGTGAACACGACAGCTGTCTTATTTTCCTTTGCAGAGGAACGGAATAGTAAAATTAATAATTTGCATGTATATATGGCCATAGTTTTTTAAATTTACACTTCCGAAAGCGTGCCTCTACATTAGTATATCTAGGTTTTTCTTGAGACTACTTGGAGCTGTGGTGGACCTGTCCACTTGAAGACGGTAGCCCCCAGCCTTAGTGAGTTCCGGATGACTGGCGCAGATTAACTGAAACGCCACTCAGCTGTGACGGTGTTTTTTAAAAATCACTTCCAGGGTTGGCGCGGCACACGAACGCTGCAAACGACTCAGAATACGTACCTTTCACTTACGCATGGTGGATTTCCGGGTGAGCTGCTTTTGTAAGTCAGAAACGCCAGTTTATAGTCTTCTCAACCACCTCAAAAGTAGTTGAGAAGACGATCGCTATGGTATGTGTGTCGAACTTCTTTCGCACCGCATGTAGCCAACGGCGCTAATCGGAGGTGCGGGAGAAGGACAACAAACTAAACACAAAAGTTTTAAAGAAATTCGTTTTCATTATACTGTAGATTTAAAAGTGCATAGCTCAAGTGGCTTCCTAATATCGGAAGGAAGAGCGTTCCAGACCGCTGCAGAAGCAGCGCATCTGAAAGTGCGAGATGCAGTGAGCGTCTTTGTTCGATGGCGAGCCAAAAGCCGCTGCCGTTAGGATGACCAGAGTTTGCGTGATGGTTTATGCTCCTTGATGAGATCAGCAAGGAATTGTGGTTCATTTGTGGCAAGCACTTTGTGTGCAATGAGTGCTGCTGTGTCTCCCAGTGTTTCTATGTCTCGGTGTGTCTCCACAAGTATCCACGCATCTCGCGTATCGCCATGTGCATCGCCGTACCCTCAGTGCCGTCTGCCTCCGCCTGCTCCTCTCGCTGCTTCTGCTTGAAGTGCATGTTGCCGAAGTGCATGATGGCGCCCGTCAGCTTGTACACGCTCGCTTTCTCCTCCGGAACGAAAGCCCAGGATGTCGTAGGCACTCTGCGGAGAGGTCGCAACCATCGCCACCATTAACACCGCCATCACCGCCCTCAACAACCATCAGAACGGTGACCAAAAGCCAAATTGTCACCATCAATGACATCACCGCCATCACCAATATGTACACCATTACAACCATCATGACCATTATTACCAGCACCGTCTAGGCATCAGCAGGAGGAGCAGGAGGGGAGGAGCTGGGTAGATTGGAAAAGCATTTTAGGGGGTGGAGCACTGACAGATGAACAGATCGAGCAACTCATCATCCTCTCTGTCAGGTGGATAAAATGTGGAAATGGGAGGAAGCTCACATCTGTAGCCATGAGCTCGTCTCCATCATCCAATCCAGCCACGGTGACTTGGCCCTGGCTGATGAACGCATAGTCGTACGGGTTGGAGGTCACCAATAGCATTTCTGGGCAAGGGGAGAGAAGGGAGAGAAGGAAATTGAGAGGGGAGATGGTTGGGGAGAGGTGAGATAGAATTATAACAATGATGGTGGTCAAATGTATAATGTAAAAAAAACAAACGTTGAAAATACTAACACGTCCATATAGTGCAGGAATTACTCGTACACTATTCTTGGGTGTTTCGGTAAAGTCACGTAGATAGGTTATTTTTTGTTATTTTCTTTGAACCTATCTACGTGACTTTACCGAAAGAACCAAAGAATATGAATTCCTGCAGTCACGAACGTTTTAAGTCAAAATCTGTGCTCTTGTTAACGCCCGACAATAATGAAGGTGATCTCCAGTGAAGCGTGGAACATACAGTGAACAAATTTGCTTGCTGATAAGTCAATGCGGATATTTCCCCACGTGACAACTTCATTTGGTTGGCTTTGTGAAGTGGTGGAGGGTTATAGTTAAAAAGGGCATTATACCTACACGACCCAACCTAAAATAAACTAATTATGAATGATGGTGGTGTGGTACTGATGATGGTGATGATGATGATGTCAATGATGATGATGATGGTGGTAGTGGTGTTCTTGTCATTTGTACCCAGGAGCTCAGGTTTCCTCTGGCTCAGGATCTGGTAGAAGATGTGGTAGTTGCGTTCAGCCTTGAGCTGGAACGTAACTCGAGACTTCTCCAACAGATCTGATGGACACACAGACAGACCGGTAATACAGACGGACAGACAAGTGGAGATACAGATAGGTAGATAGGCAGGTATACAGATATGTATACAGACAGGCAGACTTGGTATACAGATAAGTAAACGGGCAGATGGGTATACGATGCCCCTAATGGCTGGGCACCATCAATAGATCTGAGCCCAACCCAGTATGAGAATGATCTTCAACGGAACCACGTGAACTCACAGGTCTCAATGTCGGCGGACGCCAGTTTTCCGGTCGTTCCGAAGTGAATGCGGATAAATTTGCCCTGGACACACACACACGAAGACAAATATAAAGATCCCCCGTATAGCCTTTAACATGCTGTTGGGGCAAGTGCTGTTAGCGTGCACCTACGAAGTCTGAAACGACGCACAAGGGGGTGATGGTTTGGCCAACACCACGCACGCATGTACACGTTGCACGGTGACAGGGAGGGGAAAAGGTCGGGAGTCGAGGTCACGATCAAGGTCAGATTCAAGGGTCACGGTAAGTGTCAACCCTATCGGAGAGACTCACGAAGCGCGAAGAGTTGTCGTTCCTGAGTGTCTTCGCGTTGCCGAAGGCTTCCAGCGCGGGATTGGCCGAGACGATTTGATCCTCTAGGGTCCCCTGCGAAGATCACACGAGTTCACGCACTCATCGCAGTGGATTATTAAATCCATCTGTATGGAATTTTGATGTGTAAAAACGCATGCATCGCTGCGGAGAATTATGGATAAAAGCTTATAATTCTAGATTTTAAGCTTTCGTGACTGCAAGGATTCATACTCTTAGTTCTTTCGGTAAAGTCACGTAGGTAAAAAATGAAATTAAAATTAATAAAAAATCACGACGTTTCGGAAGCAACACAAGTCTCCGTCATCAGGTGGGACCGTCACAGCCAGATTTGCTGCATCAAGTGAGACAGGGATTCAGCTTATACGTGTGTTTAGTCCTTCGAGCTGTTTGCTTTCTATACAATATTATCCAGCAGGCCATTATTAGCCTAGAAAACTTTGGACGGTTTTGACCTTCTGAGTCTCATCAGCAGAGTTTTCACCCTTTGTATGTCTGGCAGGTTCTTCTCCATGTTATCCAGTTTCCCCACCGTAACAAAGCACAACTCTCGTTCCTGGAATTGTCCAATTATCCTAGTGGAGCAGGACCTTCCTGAATTACACTCGTCAACAAAAAAAAAAAACTTTTTTCTGGCCTGGACTTTTGCAGCTGTTTTAGACTAATTTCAGGTTGCTGATTCCAAATCTGATCTCAGATTTGCTCAATCACATCTCATTTTATGCTATCAGCATACCCCATTTTCATTGATTTTACCCGAAATTAACTCTGTCATTTATGATTGCAAGTTGTTGCGAGTCAGTGACTGCTTTAGTGTTAAAATATGGTGCTGTATTTTTAGGATAGTGTGTTTATAATATCATTTTATGTAGATATGCACATTTATTTAATATTTTTCTTCTGCAGTTTTTATTGAAAAGGCAATATTTGATTTCTCAAAAACCGGATGTGATAGACAAAAACTGATGGCAGATTTGGAATCAGCACCCCAAAATTACATTAAAACCGTTTGAATACCTTATGCCAGAAAAAGTGTGTTGACCAGTGTTATTATTGAGACTCAATGAGGATTTTCTAGACTAGGCTTTTACCCCCAAGGCTCCTTTCCAAAGGGCAGTCTTCAATATCCATCTTGTCCCCTCATGTCTCGTATGTCTCTAGGCCCCCCTGTGTCTCCCCATGTCCTCCCGTGTCTCCGTTTTCCTCCGTGTCCTCCCCATGTTTCCCCGTGTCAGCCGGTGTTCCTCCATGTATCCTCCAACTTTCCACCATAACTCCACAGGTCCCTCCATGTCTCTTATGTCTCCCCTTGTCTCTCGGTGTCTTCTGGTATCTCTTCATGTCTCTGGGCGTCTCTGTGTCTCTCCCCATGCCCCTGCTGCGTGTCATGTGTCTCTCCGTTTCTCCCCGTGGCCCCCCCACCTTGCTGGCGTCGCGCTTGGTTCCCGCCGCGGCGATGGACGCGAAGTACTGGATGACACGTTTCGTGTTCACCGTTTTCCCCGCGCCGGACTCGCCACTGTCCATCACAGAGACGGACACAGGGAGATGGACACAGACGGTCAGTGACGCACTCAGACGCGCAAGCAGGCAGACCGACAGAAAAACAAAATGGCAATCGGACACGTTAAGCAGAGACATGCAGACAGACATTCATCACATCCCCATACTTGTCAGCATCTCGAAGCATGCCCTTTGTGCTGTATTCAAACTCACGTGATAAGGATGGACTGATTTTCTCTGTCTGCGAAATGTAAATCAGAGATATATAGACAGTCAGTAAGGCAGATATGCAGCTAGTAAGGCAGGTATGCAGACAGGAAGGCAAACGGTGTTTGTGTACAAGTATGTGTAGAGTATGTGTAAACGGGCGCGGCACGGGCTAGAGAAGAAATTGATTGATGTGGTACAGGAGGACGTGGAGCCGAGTGGACTTGCCGATGCCTGGTACCAGCGGTGTCAAGATCGGCCTCTGTGAAGGAGGCTCGTGAAGGACGCTACTGGGCAGTTGGAGGCAGTCGCCCTCCAACAACAACGGAGGGCGGAGGAGTGACGCTCACAACAACGAGCGGAGCGCCGGGTGGCTAAAGCACAGCAAGTTAACACAGTAGGGGGCACAGGTGGTGCATCAGCCAGTCATCTCAGTCAGTCGACCCGTGGCACCTGGGTCTGCCATGTGACCTGCCAGCAGGCGTTCGACATTTCACGTGGCCTCAAGGTGCACATGGCCTGGCACAAGCGTCGTGGTGACGTCACTGCCACTTAGTGGCGAATGGCGGTTGTTGTTGTTGTACACGTACCCGTGAGCATGTACTGGTACGCGTTGTCGGAGATGGAGAAGATGTGTGGAGGGGCCTCTGCACGCTTCTTGCCCCGGTACGCGTTTACGCACTGCGAGCTGTACACGGGCAGCCACTTGTAGGGGTTCACCGTGACACAGAACAGCCCCGAGTACGTCTGTACACAACAATAACAACAGCCGTTCACCACTAAGTATCGGTGACCTCACCACGGCACTTGTGCACCTTGAGGCAATCACGTGAAGTGTCGAAGGCCCGCTGACAGGAGGGTCGTGTATGTACGTGCGTTGAACTTATTTTGCGCTGTACGTAGCCAACCGTGCTAATCGGAGGTGCGAAAGAGACCCAGGCGCCATGGGTTGACTGACTGAGATGACTGGCAGATGCACCAACTACACACACGCAACGATGACTAAGATCCGGCAAGTAGCCTGCGCAGGCCGTTTGGCCAAGTTCTATTAGCGAGCACCATGCAGATCCGCATCGCTAACTTGCTACTTACCTCTTCTCAGCAGCTGAATTAATTTTGCAGAAGCGATGGCTTCATTTCTTAACGGAGTGGAGTGTTGAAATATTCAATGAGTACCCTAGTCTCCCGATTATGATGCACTGTTTAGGTGAATGCGCCTCTTATTTTAAAGCAAATGTCTGGTGGATGATCGTCTTATCGCTCATCCGGGAGGCGTGGCCGTGTTTCTATGTGAGACCAGAATTGTGTAACTTTCTTGACACCAGCCTTGCTGTGTGTGCGGGTTTTACTTTCCGGTGCCTCTGCTAGTACGAACGATACGGCCAATATCGAGGCACTCACGTAGATCATCCATGCCGCGTAACGCTCTTTGAGGTTGAACAGCACGGACGGCTCGTTGAGGAAGGTCAGCATGGCCATGTCCTCGATCTTGTCGAACTTGGGCGGATTCATTTGCATCACGTCTGCGTCTTTCACGGTGACCGTCTGCGCGCGCACAAATCAGAGACGGGGCAAGCGAATGCTTTGCGTGTCCACGAGCGGTGTGAGCGGACATCCGCTGGTGTGTGTGCAGCGCGTTGTGCAGAGCTCACTTGGCCCTCCTCCGTCTCCACGGTGTACTTGCCGCCCTCCACGCTCTGCACGAGGGCCTTTACGAACTCGACCTTGGGGTGAGGGACGTAGACGTTCTTCTTCATGTCGAAGGGCCGCGTCTGTGCCTCCAGACGCTCCTTATCCGACTTACGCAGGAAGGGCGCCGCCTCTCCGAACTCCGACAGGTCAGCCATCTTTTAGAATGTGCAGAATCATACACGGCAGCGTTGTCAGCATCGTAAGCATCGCTGTTATCAATATCGTCAGCAGAAGCAATCATAGTGATACTCAAAACTGAGCATAATTGCAAGCAACGTAAATATCAACAGCAGCTTCATGAGCATCAGCAGAAGCACCATCATACATAGCAGCAGCAGAAGCATCATACATAGCAGAAGCATCATCATATTAAGCAGCAGCATCATCATACATATCAGCAGAAGCAGCATCATACACAGCAGTATAATCATACAGCAGCAATGGCATCATCAGCGTCATCGGTATAAGCAGCATCAGTATCACAAACATCATCATCACTAGCAGCACCAAAATCATCTATATGTTGCATCGAGATATTTAGCCTTTATGTGTATGTACTACTTTGAACAAACTGTGTACACATACTTAATTTTCAAGCTACGTGTACAAATTTGGTATTGATGGAAAGCCCGCCGTCTGTAGATGTGCAAGCAAAACACGTTTTCTTCACGACCCTGCCGAGTTATCGGGTGTGAAAAAAAAAGACGCTCATGGGAATATAAAATTCAAACCCCCGTAACGCTAAATTGTTACGACAAAATGTAATGCTCTGCTGGCAGCAAGGATCAAGCATTAGCCTAGCAACAGGTATCCCTAGTAACAGCTGGTCCTGCAGGAAGTCATGGGAGAGCAAGCATCAGGGAGCCCGGTGATTGAATGAGGTAAGAATGAGAATTGAAGAATGAGACAAATTTAATCTCAAAAGCTTTTGTCAAATTCCGTTACAATTCTGATTTTATGTGCTGTGAAATTCAACACCCTTCATCTAAAGTGCTTATGTACGGTGCCAAGGTTTTTGCTGCTGTTCGCTAGAACAGCGCACGGTGAAACTGAAAATGAGGGACGAATGAGAGGATTGAGGGAGTGAATGGACGAGTGAAATGAGTTACTGAATGGGAAGGAATTTAGAGAATGAATTGGGGGGGCACGTGTGAAAAGATTAGGAAAGAATGCATAGATGAGAAAGTGAGTGAGAAAATGAGGGCTAAATGAGTTTATGAAAGGAATGATATGACTGAGAGAGTGAATGAATTAGTGGAATGACTTATTGAATAATGTGAGAATGAATGAGATAAATGAATGAGGTAGGAATGACTGATTTGGTGAGATGAATGCGAGGATTTAAGTGAATGTTTGGAATTAGTGACTGAGAAATGAACGAGTGAATGAGGGATAAGTGAGTGATTGAGGGTGAACTATGGTCACACGTGACGGTGCGGTTTGGTGGAGTGGTGTTGTTTGCAATGACGTTAAGTGGAGTAATGAAATGGTGTAGTAGTGGACTTAAGTGGTGCAGTGATGTGGTGTAAGGGTGTAGTGTAGGGGTGTGCAGTGTAATGCAGTGGTGCAATGCATTAATGTAGTGGCGTGGTGTAGTACAGTGGTGCAGTGCAATGGTGTAGCAGAGCGCAGTTTTGTGTAGTTCTATTTGTGGGTGTAGTTTACTGGTGTGGTGTCCTTCCGAGGTACTGTGTTGAGTGGGTGTTGTGCTGCGTGGTGGTGTAGTGTGTGCTGTAATGGTGTGGGTGGGTATTGTGTAGGTGTCGGTGAGTGTTTCTTCCAGTTGGTCTGTCGAGGTTGTGTGTTGAACGATGTGGCCGGCGTCAAGATGTGTGGTGGGTTCGATGTCTGCGCGGAGTTCCAACAGACTGGTGTGGTGAGAGTAGTATTTAGTGTCTCCTGAGTGGTTGAGGTGCCAGGTGTGTCTGCTGAGGGTCAGGTGGACGACTGGTAAGTGGTGATGTTGTGGGATTGGGGGAAGGTCTGTCTGGTGAGGGTCAGGTGGTGATTTGTGGGATTGGGGAAGGTCTGTCTGGTGAGGGTCAGGTGGTGATGTGGGATTGGGGAAGGTCTGTCTGGTGAGGGTCAGGTGGTGATTTCGTGGGATTGGGGAAGGTCTGTCTGGTGAGGGTCAGGTGGTGATTTCGTGGGATTGGGGAAGGTCTGTCTGGTGAGGGTCAGGTGGTGATTTTTGTGGGATTGGGGGAAGGTGTGTCTGGTGAGGGTCAGGTGGACGACTGGTAAGTGGTGATGTTGTGGGATTGGGGAAGGTGTGTCTGGTGAGGGTCAGGGGTCAGGTGAGTGTGGTGGGTGACCGGCGTTGATACCCACTGAGTGGTATCTAGTGGCAGTGGCAGGTGAGTATGTCACATGTCTGGTGAATATTGAGAGTGGCTCACAGAGGAAGGGCAGAGCCATTGGTGGAGACATTACTAGGGAGGGGGGGATAGTTGTGAGAAGGGGATTGAGCCGATGGGAAAGATAACCCCGCTTGTAGGACGGGCTACCCTCTTGTCATCATGATAAGCAGGATCATCAGCAAAATTATCATCAGAATCATGAGCAGAACCAGCATCATCATGATGAGCATCAGTATCATTAAAAGCATCAACAGCATCAATTTTAGATTTGAAGTTTTCGTGACTGTAGGGATCCATACTTTTTGGTTCTTTCGGTAAATTCACGTAGGTATAAAATAAAATAAACTAAATTTTAAAAAAATCACAATTTATTTTATTTTATATCTACGTGACTGTACCGAAAGAACCAAAGAGTATCAGCATCATCATCAGTATGCATGTTGGACGTCTTTCGCACCACGCTAATCAGAGGTGCGGGGTAAGGACAACAAACTCAACGCAAAAGGCCGCTCTAAAGAATATCTGAACCGATCCTCAGAATCAGAATCGTTATTTATCCTGGCGAAATCCGATGAGCCATGAAGCTCTTGTTTCCACAGGTGTCTGGTGCTCTTTCCCCACCACTTCACCAACTCGCACTAGGCCAGCGTGTTGAAATACGAGTCAAACAACACCTATGATTGATACGGCGTGGATTTACAAAGTGCTATAAATGTTTAAGTTATGTACGGTACAAAGCAGCGTCGGTGTCATCAGCAGCATCAGAACAGAAATAGCATCAACCTCTTAACCATCAACAGCAACCACAACAGACTCATCATCAACAGCGTCATCAGTACCGTCTCCCACAGCAGCAATAGCAGCAGCACTAATTTCATCATCAGTCAAACTGATGACTGATCCTACTGTCGGTAGACTGGAAATAACAGCTGTTATCAACAGCAGCGGAGTCAATATCAGCATCAGAGCAACAGTGGAGCAAAAACCGCAGCAGTTAACATCAGTGGCGTCAATATCATCATCATCATCAGCATGTCTGTGATCATGAGTTATGATGATGATTGTGACGCTGGCCGTTCTTACCTTCCTCTTTGGTGATGAGGTCACAGGTGATGTGCAGCGGAGGGGCACGTGGCCAGAACAGCCTGCGCAGACAACGCATCATCATCATCATCGTGTGAGCCATGCTCGATTCACGACTGGATGAATGTCTCCCGAAAGCTCGTCGTCATCGCTCAACGTTACGTGATGGTACACAAACGCGCGCGCGCATGTATACACATGAATATAACACATACATAATAAACATACACGTCAGGGAATGTTCCAAAATTTGGAATCATTCCAATAAATGCATCGAATAATTGGGCCTAAAAGCGTGACGCCGCTAAAATTGCGTCACTTTTTGTCACGAAAAAAGTGGCGTGACGTTGCATTGTATTGTATCGTGTCACTGGTGTTAGCGCTCAGACGATTTAAATTAGTACGCGGTGTAGACGATCCGAACATTTGAAAAAGTCCTCGAAAACGCGATTTAAAAAGTACATTTAAAAAAAAACTCGCCCTTATTTTACTTTAAATATATGGACACACGCACACACGCGTATTTACATAGAAAGATAGCTATGCCATGCTATTTAGTTATTTCTACCTACGTGACTTTACCGAAAGAACCAAAGAGTATGGATTCCTGCAGTCACGAAAGCTTCAAATCAATAACTATGCCACTTTGGCCAAGTTAACAAGTGCTGCAAGCAAGCAAGCACTCACCACCACCACACACCCGACCCCACTAACTTCTTCCCCATCACACGCACCGCACTCGACACCGATGTAGCCCGCACGCTCAGCCCAAACGCACTACGCTCACACACTCACCCCCTTACACACTCACCAAATACACCCTCACCAAATACACCTCCCCACACAATCAGGGGGCCGCCTAGAGGGGGGAGGGGGGAAGTGTGGCGGGGGGGGACAAAGGGGTGCAATTTGTCCCAACCCTCACACAAAATAGAGTCCCACAATGGGCCTGTTGATTTATTCGTCGATAATGAAATTGGGGGGGGGGCACATTGTATTGCCCCTGGCCCCTCGAAACCTCCGGGCGGCCGTGTACACTCAACCCATCCCACACTCTCGCCCACACACAACGACACAAACTCGCTCACTCTGATAGGTAGGCAGAACTGAGAATGCGTGATCCTCCCTGCGGCGCGGTTTTTAAGCAAAATACTCCCCCCCCCTCCCCGCTCAATGACCCTAATGCCCTCTCCTCCTCCTCCACCCCCCGTTTCCTCCTCCCAATGCCCCTCCCCCGTGTCCTCCTTCGAATGCCCTTTTCCTCGTGTCCTCTCAATAACCCTCCCCCCCTGTTCGCCTCCCAATGCCCCCTCCCCCCTGTCCCCCCATGCCCCTCCCCTGTGTCCTCCCATTGCCTGCATTGTTCTCCCAATGCTCTTCCAATGCCCTCTCGCGGCTCCTCAAATGCCCCCCACCCCCCCCCCCCCTACAATCTGCCCTCCCAATGTTCCCTCCCAATGCTTTCCTCCAAATGCTCTCCACTCAATGCCCCCTCCCTTCCTCAAATTGTCCTCAACCAATACAGCAAGAGATACCATCTGCACTGCCAAGCCCGCTGAATAGTCACTGGGCCAGAACAATGATTTGTACAACCTAAATATCATAACTTTACTCGTACCAATGTTGTTATACGGCTAATACGAGTGAATCGTTTGATAACTCACTCCATCTCGAGCGGTTGTCACATAATTTACTGTTATCGGTCGTGCCGATAATTATCAACCGCTACAGTCTTGCCACCTCAGGGGGTGGTTAACCAAGAAGTTAAACATCTGGTCTGGGCTCGTGGACTAAGAAGTCCCAGCAAACCCTTCTGATCTCGTGTGGAAAGACCCCTGATGGCAAAGAAGGACGATCAGCAATCGGTAGGTGGAAATGCTGGGTGGCCTGCGACGTCTTGAACAAGGAACTCCTCCAAGTTCCGACGCAGGAACGAGAGCCAGCTTCAGCCCGCATAGAAGCCAATGAATGGGCTGCACTCAATCGTGTGTTCGAACGATGCACAGCAGCTGCAGAATATGTCCTTCGCAAATGGGGAAATGAAAGATTAACACTATTGTATCGTCTTCTTGGTTCTTTCGGTAAAGTCACGTAGAAGGGAAATAATAAAATAATAATAAAAGCATAATATTTTATTATTAAATAAAACAATATTTTATTATGTTTTTTTTATTTCCCTTCTACGCGAAAAATGAAACATAATAAAAGATTATGTTTTATTTTTATTATTTTATTATTTCCCTTCTACGTGACTTTACCGAAAGAACCAAGAAGATGAATCCCTGCTGTCACGAAAGCTTTAAATCGAATATTGTAAGTGTGCAATCTGTTCATCACGTAACTAACTGACCATCTGCCCATCATACACAGGAGGCACGGACACTACACTTTGAGTTTATTGTTAGATAAGTAAATATTATAGGAACGCCCGATGCCCACCAACGAACTGATTACCAAAACTTGGGCACGCACAATGTCGTATCACTCTTCAGATGTCATGCAAAAGTAAATATGCGACACTCTCCAAATACCCCCTCCTCCATCCTCCCATCCCAATAACCCCTCCCACTGCCCTCCAAATGCCACCTCCCCTTGCCCCTGCTCCCAGTGTCATTGTTTTTTGTTGTCTCTATCGTTCTGTCGGCTGTGTGTGGGGGGGGGGGGTGTTGGGTGGGAGGTTCGGGGTAGAGAGTGTGGCTGGGTGGGGGTTAGGTATTCGTGGTGTGGGGGGGGGGTTGGACAGGAGTCATTCTGGGCAACGTGACTCATCTCCATTACAGCAGTGATCTTAACCTCTACTCCCAAAAGCGGAGGTCACGGGAGAGAGTGGAATGGTTGCAGGGATGGATGTAGGGAGAGAGGGAGGGAGTGAGGGCAGGACAGAAGGGAGAGATGGAGCGAGGGGAGGATGGACAGACTTTTTGACTTGATACAGCAGTCGTGCTGTGACGGTTCCACCTGAAGATGGAAGCTTGTGTTGCCTCCGAAACGTCGTGATTGTTATTTTACTTTTATTAATTTTAATTTTTTACCTACGTGACTTTACCGAAAAAACCCAGAATATGAATCCTTGCAGTCACGAAAGCTTCAAATCTAGAATTTAGAAACAACTTTTATTGCCGCCAGCAGTAAAAGCACTGGAGGCGATTTCGATGTGAAACACACAAAGTCACCAGCAAACAAATGAAGATTAACGCTACAAATCCACGCGCTGTGGCGCTAAATGCACCGCGCACAACACGGAAGAAAAGTCACGTGGTGGTGGTCATCGCGCACGCCACGGTGACGAGCGAGCGCTTCAGAAGGTGAACACCACGAGGGTGCCGTCCACGCTGGTACAGAGAGGGGCTTGTCCGGCTCCCCAGGCAGGGACGGTTAGATGATAGTAGTAAGGGAATGAGAGTGGGATGCATGGAGGGAGGGAGGGAGCGAAGGAGGGAATGAGGAATGGATTGAAGCAGAAAGGGATGGATGAAGGAAGGGAGAGGGAGGGGTGGGGGGGCAAGCGAGGTTCCACTGCCTTTTGTTGCCCTATGAGTTGACGAGCAGGGCTTTGTTTATCTGTGACACTTGGCACAGCCTTTCACATGTTAATACAATCATCCTGGTTTGGCGTCTGGCCTAGGTCTATATTTTATTAGGAGCCCACCCCTATCCCTCAATTCCTCACCCTCCCCCTCCACTGATCCTGTCTGCCCTCCTGGGAGAGAATGATTGGTTGTTAATTTTAAACAAGATTCATGATGTGAACAACTGAGCGAGGGGGAGGGGTCAAATGTATGTGTGGAAGAAGGGGAATGCATCAGTAATCTCACCCCAATCTATCATTCCTCCCTTATTTAATCATTTTTTGCTTGGCTTGTAATGATCAGTGTCGCCATTAGCAGCATCGCCGTTATCATTAGTGGTATCGTTCCTACTATCAGTATCAGCAGTAGCAGTCTTTGCCCGGCCAAAGCAATAATTTAACACTGAACACCTCTTCCTAGTACACACACCGCACAAGTTCTTTTATATCTGCGGTGAAGTACTCGGTCTCTACTTCACTGAGCTCCAGGACAGACTCCAGCATTGAGTTGCACCACATAACCAAACCCAGGCCCAAGGAACAACGTGAATTTATTTTAACACGTCGGCTATTTATGCGATATAACCCCCCAAAAACATGTATTATGGATAACGTTAATAATAATTTTTAAGATTTTGATTTAAAGCTCTCGTGACTGCAGGGATTCATATTCTTGGTTCTTTTGGTAAAGTCACGTAGAAGGGAAATAATAAAAAAATAAAAATATAAAACAATAAAATTCTCACGAAGTTTCGACTGCAACACAAACAATCATCATCAGGTGTGTTTTTCACAGCTGATGGTGATTGCTAGTGTTGCAGTCGAAACGTCGTGAGAATGTTATTGTTTCATATTTTTATTATTTTATTGTTTCCCTTCTACGTGACTTTACCGAAAGAACCACGAATATAATTTCTAAGATGATAATTAGTTTACTTATTGTAAAGGAGTCGGCATATTGCATCTAAATGTACGAAATCCGAGACCTAAAATTTACTCTAATTAGATATGTCCGTGCTTAACTCTGACTTTCTAAGGATTTCTGCAGCGGCTAATAAGAACTTCAATGAATCCTGATCATGACATTTTAATTGATGGATTTAACGTCTTCAGAAATAACAGGCTCACTCCATCAGTTGATATCCTGAAATACACTAACTCCAATTACAGCTGTTCAGTGGCTAAATAGACATCGCATACAAAGGATTTAGAATTAATAATAATAATCAAGGTCCAGCTGTCATGCAATGACTGTTTCCATTGAGCTGTCTGCTACCATCCTCCGCGGGCTCCTGTTACAGCTATCCAGGACATGTGTGATCTCTTACATTCTCTGCCTAAGAGGTGATTGTCACCCGCAATTTAAAGATAATTTGGATACTAAACCATACTCTTTGGTTCTTTCGGTAAAGTCACGTATATGAAAAAAAATGAAAATAACTTAATTAAATAATTGTATTATTTTTTATTATTATTTTAATTCTTCATCTACGTGACTTTACCGAAAGAACCAGTCACGAAAACTTCAAATCTAGAATCTTTTGGTAAAGTCACGTAGGTGAAAAAATACAAATAAATAAAATTAAATCACGACCTTTCGATTGCAATACAAGCAATCATCATCAGGTGTGACAACCGAAAGAACCAAAGAGTATGGATCCTTGCAGTCACGAAAACTTCAAATCTAGAATTGGATACTAAACCCTACCACACGCTTATTTAAACACTTGTATCATCATTTATTACAATACATTTATGAGCCCACATGCCCATCTATTTTTATGTCACCAGTTAAGGCCCTCTGAGCCATTTGGCTCTTTTTCATAAGCGACCTGGCCGCAAATGATCGCTCAAATAATTGGCTTATCGTGTGGAACTTTATAGCAGCCAAATAATCTAAACGCGTGTTTCTAAATGTGAAGGGAAAACCGGAGGGCCGGGAAACAAATCCATGCGACCACTTAGAGAACACGCAAACTCAAAATATACAGGCGTCAGGGTCGGGATAGAACCCACGACCTCCTGCACACCAGGCGAGGTAGTTAACATCTCCTAGCCACCGTGATGATGATGAGAGAGACACGCAAATTCCAAATATACAGCAGGCATCAGGGTCGGGATCGAAGCCACGACCTCCTGCACACCAGGCGAGGTAGTTAACATCTCCTAGCCACCGTGATGATGAGAGAGAGAGACACGCAAACTCCAAATATACAGCAGCAGGCGTCAGGGTCGGGATCGAAGCCACGACCTCCTGCACACCAGTTTCTGTTATGCAGGAGGTCGGTTGCATCAGATCAGCCAAAGTCAGAAAAAAAGACATCAATATAATATTACAAATAACATTCTAAATATTTGATCAACAATTGTATTGATGACATCCATTTCATTGATTGATGTTCAGTCCTCAGACAAAATGTATCTCACGTGGCACGGTGGCTTCGCGGTGGATGCCAGGCGGTATAATGTGGGACAGCACCGGGAGCCGCTCAGTTGGAGTTCAGTTGAGCGTCCCCGACGCCGTCCTCATGGTGGTGGTCACTCTACGACGACACCATGGGTCACCTCCGGTTAGCACGGTTGGCTACGTACCAGAAGTCGCAACCGGGTACCCGATACCCGTACCCTACCCGATACCCGGCTACCCGTACCCGGCCGGGTACCCGTTTGCGACCCTGGTGCGGCCGGGTACGGGTACGGGTAGGCCGTGAGTCACTGGTGAGTCACCGTTTGCCACTCATTTCCCAACGTCTTGTCTCTTCTCACAATTTAAGTTCCTAGAATCAACCCACCCGCGCCTGCAACATGGCTTCATCCCAGAGGTCGCAATCAGGTACGCGATACCCGTACCCTACTCGTACCCAGCCGGGTACGGGTAGGGTACGGGTACGGCTGGGTACGGGTACCCGTTTGCGACCCTGGTGCGGCCGGGTACGGGTAAGGAATCAAAACCCGTTTGCGACCTCTGCTACGTACGGTGCGAAAGAAGTTGAACGCACACACAGAGCAGTGTCCTGCAGCAGGGTGGACGAGAGCCACTGTTACTCTGCGGAGCATTCAAGCCGTGCTCCCCCACAACGTTCCAGCGAGTTTCAGGATCAGGCTCACCCTGGTGTTTACTTCTTGGCCGGTGTTGGTGAGATCAGGGTGATCGGTGAGAGGTCATATGCAGGGTGGCACCAAAGGTATTCTGGGTGGAGTTCGTGGCTAAGGCGCCTCTTGTGAAAGGAAACTACTTTCTTACATCATTGGACCTTCTTTGCCAGTACCAAAATATAATTATAGGGGTTTTCCCCTTTTTTCTGGCAACAAAACTTAAACCTTTTTTTTACAAGGATTCATGTCTACATTAACCACAATACTTGCAGTCAAAATGCGAACAAAAACACAGTATGCTAATATATGCATTGTCCTTGAAACTGATTGGTCCACACCAGAGACGGCTTTCTTTAGAGCCTAGTCTCAATTGGTGCTAGACCAGAGGATGCCAAAAGGCAAACAGCTCAAAGATAATGTCCATTATTCTGACAGTGCATTATCTTTGAGCTGTACGCCTTTTGGCGTCCTCTGGTCTAGCATCAATTGAGACGAGGCTCTAAAGAAAGACGTCTCTGGTGTGGACCAATCAGTTTTAAGGACAATGCATAGATTATCAGAGTGTGTTTTTGTTTGCATTTTGACTGCAAGTATTGTGGTTAATGTAGACATGAATCCTTGTAAAAAAAATTTCAATTTTGTTGCCAGAAAAAAGGGGAAAAGCCTATTATTATAACTACTTTCTTGTTGGCCACGTTCAAATTCAATGCCGACGTAACTTTCTTCTCTGGATTAGGGTGAAGGCACCAGGTCCGGAAATAATGTTCCAGCAGTTCCCCAGTCGCGAGCATCCTATTTGCTTCCGCGAGCGTTGATGTTTGCGTCAGCAGTGCTCCGTCCATAATTTTTTGGGTTAGATTGCGTAAATATGAATGTCGTTAAATCCCCCCACCATCCGACACAGCCAATTAGTAAGGTTTGTCACGTGAACAAAACATGCCAATTAGTTACTAGTTCAGCGCACCGTTGTGTCGGAGAGTAAACACACAAACATTTAACAATTCGAGTACCGTGAAGTTTTGCCGGTAATTATAACAACCGAGCATCATCAGGCAACAGCCAGAACTGTGGAGAGATTCTGTCTTGGTCTTAAATGGAGGGGTAAATGTGATGTCATAACTTGTGAGCCAATCGGGTGCGAAGACCAGAGAGGAGGAAGGTTATTGTATGTCGTCGCCAAAGACGAACCTCCGAGATTTGGTGCAGGACACGTCTGCCGTGTAGACGTTGACAAGGGCCGGTGTGAGCACCGAATGTTGGTGGCAGCCAGCCCGTTGTTGAGTATCCGCGTTAAGCTGTTCTTGTCACCTAGATAGATGCAGAACATGCGATCGCTTTGTTGGGATGTCTCATGGCATTGGGTGGTTTTTGCCAGCAATTGTTCGTTTTCCTGGGACCAGTCGGTCTACAACCCGATTGTTGATTGATAGTTTAGCATTCAGTGGGTCACTCAAGTCACTCGCTCGCTGGCATTCAGTCAGAAACGGAAGCTCAAGCCAAATCCCCACAAAGCAACGGCCACTAACCTCCTTCACCATCGCTTGAAGTCACGCAAACCATTATGGACCCATGCGCTAAACCGCCAACAATGCCAGTTAACCCCCGACGAAGCTTGGAAAGCTGAATGGAGTTCAAAAGAACCCACTAAACAAACTCCTTGTGAAAGATTCTAGATTTGAAGCTTTCGTGACTGCAAGGATTCATACTCTTTGTTTTTTTCCGGTAAAGTCGCGTAGGTTAAAAAAATCACACTTAAGCGGTTTGTGCTTTCGCTACGTTGTCCCCACCTGAAGAAGGACGCTTGTGTTGCGCCGGAAACGTCGTGATTTAATTTAGTTTTCATTTATTTTATTAAATTTTTACCTACATGACTTTACCGAAAAAACCAAAGAGTATGAATCCTTGTGAAAGACCCAAACGCAGAAGATCCCTCGTTTTGATCTTCCGCAAAGCTCACGATCCACCCCAAACCACATCCACACAAACTGTGGCAGATGTACAAATGGACAATTTAAAAACTCTCGGAGTGTGCGAGTGTGGTCATCCAGAACAGACCGTACAACGTATAACAACGCAATGCCCGATCCAGAAATACGTAGGAGACATCAGTGACACACTCCGCTGCTGACACGGTTGTCTGCGCCTTAACCACCTGAATGTGAAACTGGAGTCATTGCTCTACATCTACATCAGCAGCCGTACGGCAAGAAGAAGAATAAAGTCACCTCCTTGTCCCTCTTCTGTCGCTACTGCCATGGTTACTGTGCTCACGAACTTCACTCGTTGACTACTCTGCCCACGTTGAGGACCGTTTCACGTCGCCCGTCCCGTGATCAACCCCCACAGTGCAGATTACAGCGAGCCCCGGATTAAGGTTGGGAAAAGCCTAAGGTTGATAGGAGGGAAGTGCCTACGTATGTGTAGTGACAATAGAACCTACATGCTGTGTGAGTGGACTAGTGGCCATGGGAGGTAATGACAGGGGAGTCAGCTGTGAGTGCGAAGCGACTGGTGGCCACGGGAGGTAATGACAGGGGAGTCAGCTGTGAGTGCAAAGGGACTGGTGGCCACGGGAGGTAATGACAGGGGAG